ATCTCCACCCCTAAACCTACCCATCACCTAACCATCTCCACCCCTAAACCTACCCATCACCTAACCATCTCCACCCCTAAACCTACCCATCACCTAACCATCTCCACCCCTAAACCTACCCATCACCTAACCATCTCCACCCCTAAACCTACCCATCACCAAACCATCTGGACCCCTAAACCTACCTATCTCCACCCCTAAACCTACCCATCACCTAACCATCTCCACCCCTAAACCTACCCATCACCTAACCATCTCCACCCCTAAACCCACCCATCTCCACCCCCTTGATGTGGATCCAACCACGCCCCCTGGTTCTTGTGTTCTGCAGTGAGGGGCTACTGAACATTTGCAAACAGACAATGCTAACTATCCTAACATCCCATTTATGAGCCTACTCATTTTAGCAGTGACTAACAAAAAAATTATTTTCAAATATTTCGCTTGAAACGTGTGCTTATGGTGTTGTTAGGACCCACTTTATCCACCTTATTTTTCAATGCGGAAGTAAGCCATTTTCTGTCAATGTGCGAGACTTCCAGTTCATTAGCCGCTGCAGGGAAATAACGAGAAGAATAACCACATGCAGTAAACGGTAAAACGATTTGCACTACAAACCAGTTTGGTCATAATTAAGATAATACATTAAAATAATATGGTAAGACACACCAGTTTGAAACAGCAAGCTGCAAAACGAGCTGTTTTGTACAGTTAATTATAGCTGGAAGCGGATGAGACCGGAAGCAAGACACATTAAATTTACAAATGGCCGCTCCCGCTTTTACGGGAAAAATAAGGTGGATATTAAGTGTCCTTAACTTCTATGCACTTACATTTAAATTAAGTTTTCACATTGTACTCATATTTGAAAATACCTTCCTGAATTTATATCTGTAATTTATTTCTGTAGCTACACCCATTTCACTGCCGACCCCTTAAACCTAACCATAGCAAAAAACCTGCCCCTAATCTTATCCGTATCCCCCTCAATGGCAGCAAAAGTGCTAAAAATGAACACGACAGGTGCACTGCACCTAACAATTGATTATTTTATTATTAAGTACATAGTATTTAAAGATTGGGACCTGACATTCTTTAAAATTATTTTTTTTAATTGCTGACATTGTATCTAATGCAATGAGGTTTAGATATTAGTGGCCAAATACTATTAAAACGAATCAACAGAAATAAATGAAAAAGCGCTTACGATGTCTTCCCACTTCCAGTAGGGCCCATAATCGCATTCATTCCAGGGCTCAAGATGCCACTGCAACAGATGGAAAAGAAAACATCACGTTTTGGACTGCTTTCAACTAGACGAGGAGTTCTTTCAATTGCGAGCAGCTCTTTGCGCAACTGTGTATCACTGATTCTTCTTCATACACTGCTTCTATTTAACTGTGCAAGAAAACACTTAACACTGAATTAAAACTGTGACGTAATATGCGTTTTTCACTACTTAGAGAGCAGGGAGGCTGATATAATGCAGATATAAAACCAATGTATATTGCATTTCAGATAAATTGAGTCTTTCAGATCCCCCTTTTCCCCGTGACCACTATTACTGCACCCCTCAAAATACAGATGGGCAGGCTGGGACATGTCAGATCTAGGCTAAATAATTTAATTAATTCAATCTAAAACTACACTACCCTACACTATGTTGTTCCTACAGGTTTATGCTAACATGCTTATGGAATGAGTAAGTGTGTCCAAATGTTTGACTAGCAGAACATGTCAAACCATTACCTGACATCTCTGAGGATGTCCTTTTCAACCCACTGCCTACTAAACATTCCTAATCGTTCCTTGATGCGGTAGCGGAGACTGTGGAAGGTGACAGTGGGGCCCGGAGTCTGGAAACATGGCGCTGTCTCCTCTGTGTCTGTGGAAGGCTGCTCGTTCACAAGCACCTCATCCAGCATGATGCCGTCCTCTGTCTGCAGGAGATGCACACGGATTTAAACCAACAACCCAACACTATTACTCTTCATTTGCACCGCTCCTAACATGTCAAGCGCTTTGAAACCAGAAACATGGAACTTGTATTTTATAAACCAATGTCAAATAATTATCTGGAGTAACTGATTACTGAAGGAGGAAGTGTTCAATGCAGTAAATGATTTACTACAAACGCAGTAAATGATGTTAATGATACATTTTTGTCATGTGTGTCAGATGCACAGCAAACGTATACAACATAACTTCATTTACTTTCCGTTTTTAATTGTGGTCATTTTTGTTTGTACCTCTTAAAATGAGCATGCTTTTATATGTTTAAGTTAGTATTTAGCCTAGCCACCTTTTTCTTCAACGCGGAAGTAAGCCTATGGGCGAGACTTCCGGATCATTAACAACGTGCAGTAAACGGTAAAACTGGTTGCACTACAAACCAGTGTGTTCATAATTCAGATAATACATTAAAACAATATGGTAAGACACGCCGGTTTGCAATTTCAAGCAGCAAAACGAGCGGTTTTGTACAGCTAAAAATAGCTGGACGCAGATGAGACCGGAAGCTAGACCCATAGAATTTACAAATGGCCGCTCCCGCTTTTTACGGCAAGACAAAGTTGACTAGAGAAAGAAATATCAGAATATGTTCGTCACGTCGTCTTCATTAATAATATAATTGTACTATCTACATAATGACAAGAAAGCGGCCAGGATACCTAACATAACATATTAAATGCATTGCTAGAACTTACTGATGCTTGTGCTGTTGTTATCCTACAAGGTGATGTCACTTCCTGTAGTAGGAGCCTGGCGGCTCTTATTTAGAAAACGTTTTATTGTTTAGTATGTTTACTACAGAACTATTACCCGCCGATAATAGTACTGTAGTAAACATCACCGCTACTGGGCAACAACTCGAAACCGACAAGACAGTCGGTTCTTTTTAGAGAATCATCGTATAACATGAATACTTCAAGAACGATTCGTTCATTTTGAACGAATCTTTAAAGTGACTCGGAAAGAACGAGTCGTCTCGGGGAGTGATTCGTTCAGTCGCGCATGCGCAACATCCTATAGGTTCTGTACTGGAATTAGTCAAGTAGTTCACCTGTTTCGAGTCGTTCATTCATCGCGTGACAGCCCCATAAACCCAAACCCGAAGACTTGTCAGAGAAGAGCTGTGGTGAGCTAATCATAGACTGAAGACCCAGGTAAACAATGAATTCATCTTTTCTGTTTCTTACAGCACTTTTGTATTGTTTGTAGTGTGATCAACGTTTGCGTAAGTAGTAGATGTGTTAAGGAAGTAACACGTAACATTTTAATTATATTTTGCTGAAATGACTCGGAAAAAAGATTCGTTCATTTTGCTGAACGAGACTCAAGGGTCCGAGTCGGTAAAATGATCCGAACTTCCCATCACGACACAGCAGTCAGATTCTCGAACGAATGAATCGTATGAGTCGGTTCTTTAAATAAAAGCAAAATGATTCTTAATCAAATGACTCTCAAGAGCCGGTTGTTTGTAATGAATCAAAAACATACAACATATACGTTATTCGTAAAAACCCACATTTAACATTCGTTACTGTCTTTCTGAAATGTTGTTCGTAGTAAACACTTACTAGTAGTCATAAACAGGGCAGCTAGTTAAATTCGCAAATCGTGTGTAGGGCAAAGTACACTAAGATAAAACTCAATCCACGGCATTTTCCATCTGTTTACTTAAGTCGCTGTCTCTAATCAATAAAAAAGTATTAAAGGATATGCGTTTACGTACCATGTTTTTGAGAAGATGTGCTCCGGTGGGGTATTTTGGTCTACCTCTGGTGGTCCTGAAACCTTTGGTTAGTTTGTAAGTGTGGGTGGGCTTTAACTCGCACTTCCACGAGCATCACAAAGACGAGACAACCTGATGATAAACTGTGTCTCCTCCTCACAGCTTCACAGCCTCACAGAACTGCTGCAGGACATGCATACAGAAGAAGGGACAGGTGCATCTGCATCTGAAGATTGCTTCCTCATGCAAGGATAATAAATGAGGAGGTGAGGTGATAATAATAGTTACATTAATAGGTCAGGAGTGTGAATTTGCAGGTTACTGCTGTTTTTCATTGCCTTAATATTTAATTAACCTTTAAATCACAATGAAATGAAAAAAAAAAAGTTTAACTGAAAGCAAGAATGTAATCACCAATCTTTCTCAAATGTAACAAATTTCTTAAAACGATACATTTGGAAATATTTTCTTAAAGATAGTAGACGCTGCAGAAGTGCATGGTGCATCACAGCTATTTTGAATTTATGTTGACAATTTAACAATTAATTTCAAGCATTTAAACACGAGCTTTCATTTAAAAAATCAGGTTTCTATGATTAATATTTGTACTTATTTATTTGGTGTTAGATATGCTATATTTTTTTGGCATTTCATTTGAAAATGTCCTTTCACGATAACACATTGTAAACATGACTAAAACCCTTAAAGCATAAGCACAAGTACACGTACAATGCTTCTTTTTATGCAAATGTTTTATTATAAAGGTCGAAATGGATAAACATGATTGCATATTATCTGAAAAAAATAACAATAATAAAATCGACTGTAATCGAAAAAGCATAAAAAACATTTAGATTAAAAACGAGAAATAAAAAACACCCATTTCATTGTGACCACTAAAATGCATAAAGCCTGTAACAAAAAAATAGGAAATATATATATATATATTTTTTTTTTTAATTGGCAAAAGTCTTCTTGAGTGCTGTAGTGTAAACAATCAGTCTCGTGGCAATACTGTAAAGGTCTGAAAGGCAGCCAGTCATTTAGACTCAGATAGAGTGAACGAGCGCCACAGAGAAGGCTGACCCCACAGCAAGCCCCAGCGTGAGGAAGAAGGACATGACGACCCCCGCAGGCTCAGCCAGCTCCCGCGGCACCACTTTGGGCCCGTAGATCATGGGCAGTGTGCCCAGGTACCCGTTGGAAATCCCCAGCAGACAGACGAAGACCACGGGGAAGAGGTCATGTGCAAAGAACACACTGTGCAGATGGTACCGGGGCTGATAGTTGCAGAACATGAAGAGAGGAACCAAGGCGCTTCTGGAGACCACCAGCAATGGCAGCATGCGGCTGGTGGGACCCGGCACCTGCAACCAGGCCGTGACCTGGCGGCCGCAGAAGTCTGCAACGTTGTACAGTAGAAAACTAGTCAGAGGCACAAAGTATGTGCTAGCCCAAGGGCTTCCAGAGTCTTTATTCATAGACTGGATCCCTGAGGAAAGAGCAGGGAAAATCAGGATGGAGATGAAGAAAACGTAGAAGACGCAGCTGCCCAGAACCCAGGTCTTCTTCAGGATGGGTTTGAGGGGCGGCACGGATCCAGAGGACGAGTCTGAGCGGCTGCTGTGGCTGTTAGACTCACTACAGGGTACAGCTGCTACTTCCATGTAGTACCTGAAAGAGAGTTAGACAGACAGACAGACATCCTGGTATTATGATTAGGAATGTCACAATATACAATTCATAGAGACATTCACTGTGATGAACATATTTTCCGTTCCTGTATTACAATTGTGTTGTGGGGCTTAAAAGTCAAAAATGTTCAGGTGGTGTAACTGTCTGGACGCTGAAATAAATGGTTTCACTTATTATTTGTTTGTTTACCAACCGTATTTATCAAATCTTTTGTTAGCATTTCTATAAAATAATATGAATATTGTAAAAACTAGTTTTCTGCTCCTGAAATGTTAAAATGTTGTCATGGGGTTTAGTCTAAAATCGGAAAACTGAAATACAGGGTTTCACTGATTGTTGTTGTTATTCATTTATTTATATTTGTTTACCATTCAGTAATTTTGTTTCCAAATCTTGCGTTACTATTTCTATAAAACACAACACATTTCTATAAAATAATATGAACTTTGTAAAAACCTGTTTTTATTTCTGAATTACAATTTTGTTGTGGGGCTCAAAATCAGATTTGTTTAGGTGGTGTCCAGACACTAAATCAATGATGATGATGATTGCATTTATTTAAATATATTTCATTTTGTTAATTTTTTTTATAATTTAAGCTGAAATGTGTTCACTTTTATAATTTTGTCATTTGTGTTTTGTTTAAAAAGTCAGCCATTTTATTGCGTCATAGATCAGCTTAAACAGAAGACCCCTGTAGACCCTCACTGTGTCAAGATTACAAATAGTTTAAGAATAATACTGATTAAATATTGATACTGGTAATTTGGTATGATTGGTAGTATGGTGATGATACTTGACCTTTTATGTTACGGAAATTGTATTAATTCAGTTTTGCCAAATGGTGTAAAAAAAAAAAAGTCATTAAATTCAATATTTAAAAATAATAAATCCATGTAAAAAATATGTTTGAAACTATTTTTGCAAAAAGAATGATTATGATATGTACACTCACCTGTTAACCCTTCCAATGCTTGTTTACTTCTTTAGTTTAACTCTTTGTTTAATACTTTTACAACTTATTCCAATAATGGGAATTTTAAATATTTTATAAAATATTTTCATTACTGAATAGAATAGAAATCAATGATAGGTTCTTGAAAGTAAGGATTTACAAGCAATGCTTTACACAAAACAAATGTGATTCGCTTGCATTGTTTAAATCATTTATTGTGATTTAATCAAGTAATAATTTAACGATTCAATCAAATTTTCTTGATATAATCGCATCATGTAAATGCAGCACTCTAGTGCCACTTAACAGTAACTCTGAGTACTGCATTTACATCAATAATTTTCATCATCATATATACTCACTAAAACCTTTAAAGCTTTCAACTGTTGAACTTAGGAGATATTTCACAGAATCTCCAAGATGCTCTTTTCTGCACAATGATATTTGAATCGGAATAAGATTTGACAGCTGTTCTTCACACAATTATGTCATACGGTTTTAGACGATTAGGGATATAATACCAAAGTCATATGGACTGTAATTATACACCCTTGTCTCTTTTATTACAATTCAGGTGCTTGAAAGGGTCTCCTTTCAATGCCATTGTATTGGAAAAGAGATTCTGCTACACTTCTCCTTTTGTGACTGTTTGGTGGATATAGGATTTAGAAAAAAATCCCTAACTCAAGCATATAAAAATAGTATGTTGGCACATCAGCAACTGCTGATCTCTACATCACAACTGTGTCACGAAACTGCGGTTTGACCCCAGACCGCCGATGAAACTCATGGATTCACTACCAGCACCACACTTCCCCTTCCAACAAAGAGCTCTGTGAATATCATGTAGTCAGGTTTTTATATGGTAGATATTCATGAGATAACTGGAAGAAAACAATGCTCCTTTTGTGTTTGTGCATGGGTCAAATGTTTAGTGTAGTGGAATATTCATAATGGCTATCAAGGGTTATGCAATGATAGAAATGTCATACCTTTAATGGGTTTGTGCTACATGTTAAGCAAACTCGCTCACCTTGCGTAAGACAGTCTGGGCAGCAGCAGGTACATGATGATACAGACAAGAGTGAAGATGTCTGCTGTGATGAAATACACCAGCGCACTGTCGGTCACGTCACTCGAGGCAGCCAGGTCTACTGTTGATGCCAATGCACTCAAAGTGCCACCCATGGCCTGACCTGAAGACAAAAGACACAAGCTTAGTCTTGTGGCGCCACTGTATATTGTGCTGTTGGCTGTTTTTTTATATATTTAGAGATAAATAGCACCGATTTCCTTTCAGTCAACTCAAGAGGATGAACACTTGTAGTAGTACCTGATATGATTGCTTGAGATATCCTCATTGGAAAGTAGCCACTGATACCAAACACACTGCCAGAGAAGATGTTGGACGCCCCACTGACCAGCGCCACACTGGCCAGCGTTCCCCCAAAAAACTGCATCCTACAGCCAGACATGTCCACTTTCACCAGCGCTGTGGTCACCACAAACACAACCAAGATCACCAGGAGAGAGAACATTACCCGCACCTGAGAGGAAACCCTGAAAGAAATACAGAGGCCAGTGTGAAAGACGTTCGAGTCGGGACGAGTTGATGGAATTGTCAGTGATAAAATTCAACATTTGCATGTTTTTAAAGGGGTCGTGAACTGCGAAATCAAAATTCCATTGATCTTTCGATATATAAGAGGTCATTGTGCTATAAAAACATTCTGTAAGTTTCAGAACTCAGAACTTTCTTGTTACTCTAAAAACAGCTTATATTGAAGCCAATCTGCCAAAACGACAAGTTGTGGAATGTGCCACTTTACGATGTAATAGTGTGGATAAGCACCGCCTCCGCAGAAGAAGATCAACGCCTGCTTCTACGTCACTGTCTATTTAGCCCCGCCCACAGATTCGCGCACATATTAGGTAAATGACAAGACAAACACAGTTCAACGCAGAAACCAAACTATAAACTTTATTTGATGAACTTTATTTTTAATGAAGTGCCCGACCACGTCAGTAAAAACGTGGACTTTTTTTGACTTAATTTTACCGCGGATTCGTTTACAAACAAGGCACAATTCGACGCAGGATTTTCAGAAATTTTTTAACTAAAAGACGATGCTGTGCCGAATATATTGGATCTAAGGCCATGTCCACACGTACACGTTTTTCCTTCTTCCATTTAAAAAAAAATCTCCGTCCACATGAAAACGCAAACGCATGCTATGAAGCACTGTCAAGAGCATGCCAAACCAACAGGTGGCGATATAATCTCAACCGTATAGCCATGTTGGCCAATCAGAAGTCTAAAAAAGTTTCCAGTAGGCGGAGATAACAGCGCAGACTCCGACGTCACAAGCCAAAATCTCCGGTTTCACTGTCTACTACACGATAACACTGCAACCAGAGTTTTTGAAAATCTTCACCCTGGCAGGCGTTTTCCAAAATGTTCGGTTTCAGTAACCTGGTGCTGCGTTTGCGTGTGGACGAACGGCCTAACCGCGTAGAAAAAGCTGCGGTTTTAAAAATAACCGCATTCGTGTGGACAGGGCCTAATTTTGCACCACACAA